GTATGTATGTATGTATGTATGTATGTATGTATGCACGCACGAGTCTCTCTGTCTTCCTTCCCTCCTACACATACATACATATATATATATATATATGCACATATTTTTCTGCATAAATAAATACATAGAAATATAAATAAATAAATACCTACCTACATATATATATATATATATGTATATGTATATTATGGTGCTCACCCCCCATGTACCTACCCTTTTCATGCATTTGCTGCCTTGACCCGCATTGGCTTTGTCGGTTTATTGGTACTTCCATGGTTTTGTGTTCTTAGACCTCCAGATCATTGGGACGTCTCAGCAATTTCGCACTCCTAGAGTCGCGAAACGATAAGAGATCCCGATGTTTTGGGCCCTCGAATCCCCCAAAATGGGACCTCCCTGCCCTTAATTTCGCGCCCAAAGAGTCCCAAAACTAGAGAAGTCTCAATACTTTAGGGGTCCGAGATCCTCAAACCATGGGGGCGGTCCCAATAAACCCAATTTTTTGGAGTCTGCAGGCCCGCTCTCCCGCCTTGGTTTTATGGTTTTTTTGTGAGACGTTCCATGGCTTTGGGCTCCTAGGCCACGAAAACATTGGGACGTCTCAGCGCTTTCGCACTCCCGGGGTTGCAAAACCATGAGAAGTCTCTTTGTTTTAGGCCTCAAAACATTGGGACCTCTCAACACGTTCGTCCGCCAAGAGTCCGAAAATCATCAGAGCTTTCAATTTTCTGGGTGCCCATATCGCGAAAACATTGGGACCTCTCCTGACTTGCTTTACCATATTGTGATAACAGCCCATACGGCATAAATACCAGTTTGATACCAAGTTGATGTTCAGCACTGAATTCTGCGACTATGACTAACCACTGCTTTACCAAAAAGGAAAGCTTCAGATTGATATTCGTTTAGTATTTGCTGTTCACATGAATCACACAAACTTGAAGCAATGTTGCTTGATACCTAGCTGATTTCTTTCTAGTACCAAAACATTGTCACAGTTCAACGGTATTCGAGAACAAGCCAGTGCTGAAATAGCTTGTCTGTGATGCACGTTTAGCCAATAGGCAGTCATATGTAACGTACTTCGCAGGTATGTCGCTCACTGAAACTCTAATATCGGATGATTCGTTTCCTTAGCAAAAGTATTCACGTCAAATTCAGGCGATGATTCACCGTTATAGTTTTGTACAGTAGTCGAAGCTCATCTAAATACTCTTTTGATACCGGATTCAAGTTCTGTGCAGAGTTTCCTACTTGCACTTATAAGTGTCATTTTAACAAAATGCAAACCTGTCAGTTTTCATTCTCTACCCGCCGTACATGTGATGTTCACATGCAACGTAAGCAATATCCACTAATTACTTATGCTTCAGGTCTACATGCTACTGGTATTAACAGATTGTTCAGTAGTTTGTGATCACAAATACTAAAACATAGCTGCCTTTCACCAAAGTCTGGTTATTATGCCCTTGACATGAAACCCAACAGCTATATCATCTTCAATATATTTCACGAATATGTAGCCATTATAAACTTTCGTAATTTTCCAGTTATGCTTTGGCATGTCATTGCTTCGTCGCTAGTGAATACTTTGTGCGCATTTACGTGTTTTTTGTTGCTATCCCCTTCTCAAGGAAAGAAGCCGTAGCCGGGCCGTAGTCCTGGCAACTACCGACGAACGAACTAGCACTTAACTGCTATGGCGCGGTCCCCCTCGTATTGCTGCACCGAGTAGCTATAAGCCAGTAGCGTTTCGTGATTATTATCTGAATACTGCCTATCGTGTGGCTTGAGCAGTAGCAGATCAACATAAGACATTCAACAGCAAATAGTAACCTGCTATTAAATGGGCATGGGTTTTGGCAGAAGCAATAAGAGCCCAATAAGAGCTGTATCGCAAATATTGGTTGACTGTCAAGCTGTAGGGAATGGATGAGACATGGCTATTTTGCGAACAGTACGGCTGTACGGCTGTCACCAGCGCTCATGCAATTGAGGTTCTGCAGACACACGCCGGGTGTATAAACACAGCAAACAGGTAGGTACATCAGGGTGTGTGTAGCATATACATATGTGTGTGTATCCATCGACATATGTATATATATATATATATGTATGTGCGTCTAGAGCTATGTATGTATATGTCTATATGCATATATGGAAAAGTCATAGATATAGGGATAGATACAGATACAGATTTAAATATGTAGTACACAGGCCCACCGACCCGTTCTTGTACGTAAAAGGCAGGCCTCCTCAACATATCTTTGGAGTAGTTTGAGGCGGGAGTGCACCCTTTGGACCACTCAGTTCTTTTGCCACGATGCCTTGCATAGCAAGGCCTGCGTTCCAACTCTTGGAAAGAGGCTCCGGTTCACAATCAGAGATCAAGGTTCCTGGGGTTCGCGTGCAAGCCCGGAGGTTCATTGCTAGGAATGTAGGGAGAACATCTAGCATCCAGGAATCCAGGTCTTCAGATGTGGACCAAGATGTAAGTCAAGGTCCTGTCACATCCGAGAGCCCGCATGCGCAGGCGCCAGCAGACTCGAGATGCGCGACGTTTCGGTCTGCGGAAAATTTTTGCGATCCTCGACCTCCTTTTCTTTACAATACTTCCCAAGCTGGAGAGCTTTCGTGTTCCACGGTGCGAACCTGTGTTTGATGGGTGTTGTGGCTCCAATGTTGCGGACGATCCTACTAACTGCCCTCTCTGCTTGATATGCTCTGGGCTGGGGTGCTTGAGGAACCTTCACTGGAACTTACAAGAGGCTGCTTTGCGAGTTCAAAGGGCAGTATTCGCAAGTAGTCATGAATTTCTACATGGTGGTGGTTTCAGATAGGTTCTAGGCCCCCGTTCGTGATTTTGTCTCTAGGCTGGCTCCTTCCCAAGATGCCTTTCGTAATGTTTCTTCCTCCAGCGCACTACCTCTATACATAATCGTACTATGCGGGCTCTTGTGGTTCAGATGTTTACATGCCAGACCAGAGGCCCCACTGCAGCACACCACACTGCATGGGCAGCCAATGCCGTGGCCCTTTTCAGCCGTGAAGGTCGCAAGCTTGAGGCACTACTGTAGCGGTCAGTGCACACGGTTGGATGCAGGGCATGCTGCATCGAAGCGATGATCACCACTTGAACAGCAGTTGATAAAGGCCGATGCACTAGTGACTAGGAAGCCAAACCATAACATAAACCGCGATGTGCAACAGAGCACGCAATGCTTACGATCTCGCTGCAGAACATGGGCTGCATTTTCCTTGGCTCCTTTCTGTAGCCGGAGCCTCGGAAGCCGATACTCAGGGACTTTGGACAAGGATACCTGGAAGACAGTGCCCCCAGCGGATTCGCAGAACTTATCTGAAATCCAGTATGTGCTCCGCATGCATCAGTTTGCGACGTGCGCACATTAAGCTGTTTCACACATGAAGGGCGCTGCCGCCACAGTTCTTGGCCTGGTGGACTCCGACCCTGGGTGCTGAACTGAAACCAGGTTGATCGAAGGGAAGCCGGCGGTAGCGGTTTTGGTGCCCATGGGTCCGTGGTGGCGACGCCAAACTCGGAAAGGCCCCACCCGTCTCGTGGCATCTCTTCCCCGTGCATCTCGAGGACCTTCAATCCCAGGCAGTTTTTTTGCAGCACTCAAAGATGCGCAATTGAGTCATCCTCCACTGATGCGGCATAGTCTCTAGGAGCGACTGCTCGCGCTTTTTGACAATGGCCCGCCGGCCGTATCAGGACTTCAATTGAGCCTGACACCTTCCAGCTAGGCAGGCTCCAAGCCCCGTGACAGGTGAGCCCACAAAGCTTCCCCGCGCCTTCTCTTGGGACCGAGGAGCTTCCATGCCATTGTACGAGGAGCGGCTCATAAACCCCCTCTCCGTCCGCTTCTCGCAGGCGGCAATGATGTTGGGGTGATATGACGCGCTTTAAGGCCATCGTGCACTTTGGAGGGCTACATTTAGAGTATCGATCAAGCAGTGGCATAGTCTTATGAGATTCCGGACGTAGCCCAAACAGCCTCCATGCTGCCCGAATCGAATTGCAAGCTTTACCCAGCCACCGTGCACAGGACAGGATGTGGGAGGAGTTCTCAGATGGTCGCCCCGTGGAGGTGCTCGGCTATCGTGGGGAATCAGTAGCAGGGGTTGAGGACTTGGGGCCTCTGAGCCCGTGCCATATCATGCAGTGAGGGGTGGGATGATGGTGGTCATCATAAGACTGGTCAGTATCGTTCTGCTTGGGCTGATGTCGAAGATGTCAATTATGATGTTGATGATCTTGATGCGAACCGTGGTGATGATGCTGATGATGACGACTATGAAAATGAAGGTGTTTGCCCTAACCTGACAGAAATCTTGTGGTGGTGACTGTTCCAATCATGCTTGCATTGACGAAGGAATGAAACATTCTTGCATTCACCGTGGATATTGAATGGCATCTGATGACTGGCATCCTCCTCCTCCTCCTCCTCATCACCATGACCATCATCACAGCCATCATCATCGTCGTCATCATCATCATCGTCATCATCATCATCATCATCATGATCATCATCATCGTCACCATCATCATCATCATCATCTCCATCATCATCATCATCATCATCATCATCATCACCGTCATCATCATCACCATCACCATCATCATCCTCATCCTCATCCTCATCCTCATCCTCAGCGTCATCATCACTAGCATCATCACCATCATCGTCGTCATCACCACCAGCGCATTATCACTAGTTTCATCATCCACATCATGCGCACACTGCCATGGAGTAGAGCAGTGCTTCAACGTGACGACTTCTTTACGCCGGCTAGCGGAGTAAGTGCCACCCCGTTTGAACGTAATATGGCAGTTATATGTGTGGAGGATTGCGGCTTACTTGTGTCTGGAGTCCAGGGGGAAGAAGTGGGGGCATGGGCCGACTTCGCTCAAGCTAGTGAGTCGAACTATCGCTATCCTTTGCACTCAGGTTGGAGGATCCTGACTGGACTATTTTATGTTGAAGCTGATCAGGCTTGAGGCTGCCATGATTCAGTTAGACTTGATCGAACCTCAACGCTTAGCTTTGTGCATGAGACATAGAAAGTTTTCGCGAGGAGACAGTGTGGGAGATCGCTGCCAACGGTGGCGAGGATGGCTACGACCTGTTGCTCAGCGTAGCCGGCATGGTTCAGCGGCACCATCTTCTGACAAGTCCTCGATCGTTGTGATGTACACCGAGTATTGCATCTGCCAATGCACCTCTCGACCTGGCGTACTGACCTGGCCTAGGTTATCACAGCTTGCTTCAGCACCTCTGAAATCTCTACTCGCGTTGTGGGGAAAGGGTCGTATCCTCATCATGTCCACCAAGTGTTCGCCAAAACTTTGAAGATGGACTTTACAGCAGTTGCATGGGGCTGGGAGATGGTTGACATCTGAGACCCTTGTGTGTGTTCAAGGTTGCCAATCGGCCAGGGGTGGCAGCACCAGAAAGACGCTGATTGATAGTTTGTCTCTGTCACAGAGTTAGACGGTCAGTGTTTATCTGGATTTGTAATTGTATGCATACTGCAGTTTTTGTGCCAGCTTCAACCTGTAGTAGGTTTTCATGAAGCTGTCGATTTCACGCTTCTTTACCCGAGAGGAACACAGCTGTAACAATAGTTACAGAAACAGTTAAGCGTAATTGCAATCCTTACCTGGGAACCGCAACAGGTGCAACAGTCACTGTAGATGATGATGATGATGATGTTGGTGATGATGGCGACGTTGATGATGACGATGATGATGATGACGATGATGATGACGACGATGATGATGATGATGATGCTGACGGCAAGTTTCATCGTCAAAATGGTAGCCCACGTCTCATTTCATGTCACACGCATCTTGAACATGCCAAGTTGGTTTATGATCTCTAGATCTTCCTTCAAAGCGTGCGCGAGAACCAGGCCCACCTTTTCCTTCGGTGGAGATCGTCCGCCTTCGCCAGCAACGGCGTGAGGCCAGTAAAGCTGCGAAAGCATTGGACGTGGTTTAGAGGGTTACGGCAGAGCGTGATTGGATGAAGCTTCGAAAGTTAATCCTTCTGAGTGTGTTGATGAGACCGCAAGTCTGTGCTGGTCTTGCCTTCGGTTAACGTCCTTGAAGTACTTCAGAACTGTGCATATGAAGGCAGGACGGCCACTTAAACAGCGCATTATCTGCTATCCATTTCGTCATGCAGTACACGCGGACGCTGGCCTTGCAAGAGCAACGATGTTATGGTTGGAACCTTCGCAATGCAGTCCGAGCGTTTCTTGAGCGTTTCTCTTGCACGGAAGCGCAAGCATCCTCGATACTCTTTCGAGCTGAGCTTAGTGCCAGGGCTCTACTGGCATCGTGAACGAGCGTGGCGAGCGCCTCTACGGCCTCTCTCTCGGCTCAGAGAATGTAGCTCTGGCCATAGTGGGGACCATCATTGCGACCTTGTCTCGTGTGTGTTCGATGCAAATTCCGCAGTATCAATCCGCTTTGCTGAGCTCCCGAGTGGTGTTTGCTGCGCAACCTCATCCTGTAGCCCTCTGCAGGAGAAGAGTCCTGGCGGGCGCCTCAGTGTGCCACTGTAGCGAACTATCGCAGTTGGAATCCGGGTCGGTGTTGTTGTTCTGAAAGTGGGATTTGGCACGCCGACCTGCCACCATAGCATCGGTCTGTCCCTCGAGGGGTTGCCATCTTGAGCAGGGTCGAAGACTGAAGCCCGGCATGTGTATCCATCCAGCCAGCCAGAGGTCCTTGGCCACGACTTTGACCAAAAGCCGGGCTGATCATAGTGTTCGTAAGAACATAAACTCTCGCCGTCATCTCAATTCTGATCCCGGTATTGACCAAGCACTACGATTACTCATGCCCACGACGACGACTACTAGCACCACGCCCACCAATGTTTTGATTAATCGTCCAAGAATGCCCATTTTCGGGGTCTCCAGACAGTACTTTGATTGTTTTTCTGTTTGTTACGATTTCAGTGTTCCTGATGCGGTTGCTTGCAGGCTTAGTCGTCCTTAAGACTATCGAAAATCAAAGTAGTGTTTGGAGACACCCTCCAACACCTGTAATCTTAGGCCAAGCAGTCAAGCTACTGCTACCACTACTACGACTACGACGACGACGACGACTACTACTACTACTACTACTACTGCTGCTACTAATACCACTACTGCCACTACTAGTACTAGTACTCAAGTACTAGTACTAGCACTAGTGCTATCACTAGTACTAGTACTAGCACTAGTACTAGCACTAGTACTAGCACTACTACTACTACTACTACTACTACTACTACTATTACTACTACTGCTACTACTGCTCCTACTACTACTACTACTACTACTACTATTACTACTACTACTACAACTGCTACCACCGCTGCTGCTGATACCACTACTACTACTACTACTACTACTACTGCTGCCGCTGCTGCGGCTACTACGCAACAAGTACGGCAGCTACTGTTGCTACTATACATAAAAAAACTACTACTACTACTACTACCACTACTACTACTACTACTACTACTACTACCGCTACTACTATTACTACGACGACGACTACTACTATACTACTACTACTACTACTACTACTACTACTACTACTACTACTACTACTACTACTACTACTACTACTACTACTAGTAAATAGTACTACTACTACTATACTACTACTACTACTACTACTACT